ACACAGTATAAATTAATGTATTTTAGCAATATGTTCGGGCCTACTTGTGACCATAATTACCATCAATAATAGCAACCAAGGATATGGATTGGTGTGGGGAAGTATTATAGGTATGTCTAATTAAACTTTGTAGGAAGGGAGTTGGAGAACTTGAAACGGGGCTGTTATTTCTCCTGTCTAAAATATACTTTTCTGCCTCCCCCCCCCCCCATGAAGTTCTTAGGGCAGTGTTGTCCAAACTTGGCCACTTTAAGATGAGTGGACTTCAACTCCCAGAATTCCCCAGCCAGCCATCTTAGTCCACTCATCTTAAAGTGGCCAAGTTTGGACAACACTGCCCTAAGAACTTCAGGGGGGGGGGGGGAGGCAGAAAAGTATATTTTAGACAGGAGAAATAACAGCCCCGTTTCAAGTTCTCCAACTCCCTTCCTACAAAGTTTAATTAGACATACCTATAATACTTCCCCACACCAATCCATATCCTTGGTTGCTATTATTGATGGTAATTATGGTCACAAGTAGGCCCGAACATATTGCTAAAATACATTAATTTATACTGTGTTGTAGCTTTGCTCCAGCTAATTCAGTTCTTTGGGGTTTTAGACAAGGTTTTCCCAAGCCTTTTTAAAATGCATTTATTATTTTTCTGCCAACAAGAAAAAGAGGAACTAGCACAAAAAATCATATGACATTACATATAAAAATGCCATTCAGACTATTTGTTTGAAATAAATAATTAAACTTTGACCATACAAAATAATATTCAGGAGTCTTTGGATCAACAGAGTGCAGGTCATAAATGGAAGGTGAACACTCATCTATAATCCAAGATTATAAGTCTGGAGTATCTCTGTCTTTCCAGGGTGGAAGAATGAACATATTTGCTATCCCCATGAACAATAAATCCATAATTCATAGCATAATACATTCCAAATTTTGGATTATATAAAGGGCACATTTACATATTTAAGTAACAATGATTTTGTAACACACAATTAATGAGTTTGTGACTATCATACTAAAATGAAATATTAAGTGAACAGAATATGGGTAAACGCTCCATCATCTATATCATATGTCCATCATAGTGAAGTTGGTAACCAGCCCCTTTTTAATATTTTCTGAGGAGTCAAATAGGCATGGGAAATAATCTTTTCTGAATTAGTCTCATGTTGAGATAATTAGAGAAATTTTAAAATCTTTTAATTAAACAAAAAACCTTTCCTGATAATTTATTAGCATACGTTATTCTAGCTCCTTAGTCCAAAGTTCTTATCGATTTGCTTTAATATCCATCTTAGTAATAGCCTTTAATTTTTCATAGAATTTTTATTTGGTTTTGATGTACTTAAAAAAATTCCACTAGTGATAATAATCCAGTTTTAGTCACTTTTCCCAATCCTTTTTTGAAGATGTCAGAGATGAATTTGGATCTTTTTCATGCCATGCATATCTTCTCCACTGAGTTATGACCCTCAAGTGTTATGAGAGAACAGAACCTGGGGTTGAATTAATCTTGCCCTGATGGAAATATCCCTTAATAAGAACAGCCACGCCAATCAAACTATAGAAAGGCATGTGTGGTAGCTGATACCACAATTCCATTGGAAGTGGCTGGAGAAAATGCTTCCTCAGCAATCTTCTTCTGAAGTTGCTTTCCTACTTGTAATTTTCATTCACCAGCTTCCCATGGTGAAAATTATGCAGTTGGAAGGAGCTCTCCAACAAGATTTCAAACAGCTCCTCTGTAGTGATAACTCTGCAGCAATGCTGGTGGGAACTCATTTTGGTGAACAAGTTGGATATAGAAGTCTACTTTGCATGTTACAGGACTTCACTTGGAACAGCTTGCAGATATACAGAAGCTACATATTTTTTACCAGGAATAGCTGCTGAGAATAGGTTCATTCATTACAGAATGATAGCAATTTCTATCATAAGCCCTTGTGTCCATTTATGGATGCTGTGTAGGAAATTAGTACATGGACAGAACTGCAAGTACTTTCCATATGGCTACTGGTATATAAATCCCAACCCTTAGACATATTGCGATCTGGGTATCAAGAGTTAATTATTCCCTTGACATTGGCTGAAACTGATTAACTTCCTTATCCACTAAATTATATCCATATTTGGAATTTCTTTGCTGAAAGCTTTCCTAGGGAAAATGCTAATTGTAGTCACATGACCCCATCTCTCTCTCTCTCTCTCTCTCTCTCTCTCTCTCTCTCTCTCTCTCTCTCTCTCTCTCCTAATCACACCAACTTCCAGATACTGTTTCTGCTTTAAGACAAACCACTTACTCCCTATATGTAAGTGATATCCCGTATCAATTAATCCTGTATTACCTACATCATTTGGGGCAGAAAGTTCATTTGTTCTTCTTGTCTTTCAGAAAGTTTCAAACTAGGGTTATAGATGTCATGATCAAGAGGGAAGCTAGAGGCCAAGCCACCAGAAACAATCCATCTGAATGGGAGTAGGGAAGATGGGATGGTAGAGCAAAAGAGGGTAACATGTGCCAACAACTCAAAGCATTTATTTGTACAAGATGAGAATGTCCAGCTTACTGCAGATATGAGAATGAAAGATTGGTAACCCTTGTTTCTCTGCTTTATAATGAGTAATGTTTTAAAGACAGATGATTTTGAGACTGATGGTAAATTTGGACCTCTTTAATTTTAGTGCACAGCTTCAATATGGAATCTAGCCGAGGTACTGTAGACCATTTACGATTTTACTCATACACCTATTTGTCTAGAATAATTTATATAAAGTTGTTGTTCTGCTTTGAGTAATGTTTAAATGTTTCAAGAATGATGACAGGAGAAACTTGTCAGGTGTCTAAATTATTAAATCATCAACAGCTACCTGGTGCTGTTGGAAACTTGGGAGCCATCAGCATCTCTTGGTAAACAATTTGGGTTTTCAAAATTGATAATAGCACCAAGTCACAACATGAAGTTTTATAAGCATATTGATTTCTCTGTGAAATATAACAAAGCACTAGTTGATGTAAAATGCACTGAAATAAGTTTGATGAACTAATGGAGTATGAATTTGGGTTTAGGCAGACACAGCTACCTTCTCCATCTGATGCAGATAGGATGAGCAAACCATTGGTTGCAAACTAGGAGCCAGTCTCAAAAGTCTCCTACTGTTAATTTGTTTAAAAAATCCCTCCTCTTTTCTTAATTTATTGTTCTAATCCAAAGATCACATGCAGACTTTAAAAAAAAATAGATAGAGGTGCAGAATAAAACAGCCTATATATATATACTGTATATCCTAGAACTTAAAATGCAAGTTAAAATGGACACAAATCTTTACCAAAAATTGGGCACCTTAAATCATGCTAACCAGCAAGCCATGTGTGAGATACTGTACAGATAGTCTGTACAAACTACACATTGTTTGGAGATAATATACATAAAATTCAACCTCCTTACTTAGAAAACTCCTTAAAAAGGGGCATGATCAGGGTCCCACAAATATCTTTATAATATAAATGACATAGGAGAATATGATTCATCATATACTGCTTGACACTCCTTCTTTCTGTAGCTTAGTTTCAAAAATACACTCTGCCATTTAGGTTTTTAAAAACCCCACCTTTTTTCCACTGTTGAGCTTTAAACAAATACTCTCCTTTCTGCTGACAGAAATGTCAGGGGAAATGGAGCCCCCCTTAACCAGAATGAGAAATCCGGAATTGAAATGGTTTTGCAAACCCTGAACGAGAAGTAACCTAACCAAGAAGTGACGAGGTAAGGATTAGGCCCAGTGGGCACCACTTGGAGCACAGTGCTGAAAAAGTTGAGCATTGCTCTCCATCTTGGCAACTTGAGGATGTGTGGGCTTCAAGTCCCAGAATTCCCCAGCCAGGGTTTGCTGGGGAATTCTGGGAGTTGAAGTCCACACATCTTCAAGTTGCCAAGATTGAGAAACACTGCTTTTGCTGGGGAATTCTGGGAGTTGAAGTCCACACATCTTCAAGTTGCCAAGATTGAGAAACACTGCTTTTGCTGGGGAATTCTGGGAGTTGAAGTCCACACATCTTCAAGTTGCCAAGATTGAGAAACACTGCTCTATACCAACAGTAGTCCTGTTGAATGCTAAATAAGTAAATACTAAATGAGGATCTTCCTGTTCCTAATTTGCCCTCCCCTTCAAACAGGGGGAGCATAAGAGGACTCACTCCACTTTATGGAAGAGAAAGCATAGCTCTTGAAGCTGACTCTGATTTGCAAACCATAGTTTGCCAAACACTTCAGTTATTATTGCCTGGACTGCCTCTTGTTCAATTAAAACATTACTGAGTAATTTTCTTACTTGGTATTCTTACCAGGTGTGCATGGAGAAAGACCACAAGGACACAAGTGGTGTTGTCAATGCCCAGATTGATTTCCCCAAAATAGTTGGACTGTAAAATGGATTCTTCATTTTGCTCGCTGATCCCAGGGGCAGTGATACTGAAATTAAAACAAATAATAACACCCTGAGCTTGCTATAAATGTCTTGCTCAGTTCTGTAATGACATCGTGCTTCAGTCTCTCTGCATTCAGTTTGCTTCATTTGGAAGCCTTTTAAAATTGTAACCGTCGTCATCATCATCATTTTTGGAGGAAATTGAGGGAACCATGCTGTGATTTCATTTCTTAATTTTAGCCCATATTTCAAATAATAGGCTAAAGGAGTTAGAAATCAATGACTTTTCATCATGCATCACAAGCCAAATTTGATGTATGGCAAAGCTTTCACTGTATCACAGTACAGCTATGAAATCAACTTGAATCTGGATTATTTCACAGGGCATTTTTAAAAAGAAAAGAAAGGAATGTTAAAAACAATGCATACAGCACTATGGCTGAATTCCACCAAATTTGGTAGAAACTCACTCACTGCCCCATCAAACTCTGTCAGACAAGGTAGGGTCTCCCCTGTGTTTTTCAGTAGAATTCCCAGCATCCCTATTCATTGACCATGTTGGCTGGGGATGATGAGGGCTGTAGTCCAAGACATCCAGAAGTCACTAGATGGGGACATCAGCCATTGCTTGTTCTACCATAGTTGAAAACTATGTGCTCTTTCATAGACACACTTTTGTTTTATAGAAACTTGAAAGGTGTTTCAATTATTTTCTTGCTTCTAAAAAAAATTACTCCAGTGTTTAATGCAGTTTATCCTTCTGCAACCTGCACTGAAGTGTATTTGGGCCCTGCAAACTCCATTTCTAACTCTCACATTGAGGAGGACCACCAGTATCTGCAGATTCCACCTCTCACATTTATTTAAACTGCCCATCTCTGGAAAGGACATAATAAACCAAAATAACCAACCTCAAATTAAGCCCACCACAGTTAGTATCAGAAGTAAACACATGTTCCCTTTGGTATCATCTCACCAAGCCAATTCACAGGGAGAAGGTTGACATGAGATGGGCTTACATCAATCTTCCCTCCTGCACAAATAGGAAGTCAGTGGAGAAATCAGTTGTGAAGCTGATGTTTAGCTTACAGAGGAGCATTCTCACTGAACCTAACTCCTGTTGATAACATGGACATGTCCACATAGTTTCCTTTGGCCACAATACAGAACTGCTTTGCCCCACTGCATTCTTCCTCGTCTAGCCTACAATCTTGGTATTCCCTGGGGGTCTCTTACTGAAGCACTAACTAGGTACAACTCTGCTTTGCTTTTTGGAGATCAGCCCAAGTCAGCTAAGAGCTGCAATTATTTGATTGTAGGGGAGATCTAATTTAGTGAATGCTCTGCAGATAAAAGGAGAGCTTTTATTCCCCACACAAAATCAGTAAGTTGCGTAGATGCATAAAATGTTCACATGAGATTGTTTCCACAGAAGCTCCTAGAGTTTCCCAAAAAGAGGGGAGGAAATGTTCTCCTAGAGTTCATAAAGTGATGGAGGTAGCCATTCACTGGGAGAAGAAACCATTCAGATTGAATTACCATAGTAGTTGCTAACTAGTTCCCGGAGACTGAGAATGGTGCCCCAAGGAATGGTGCCTTTCACATGCTACTTCCAAGAAAAAGGAATGGCATTTATTTGGTTTCCTCTCATTTCGCTACCCCATCATGATCTTCCCAAAGAGACTTAGGAGATGTAAATATGAAGTGTCTGGCATCTATACTGTCACCTTCAATCAAAATAAGGAGAAAGGTCACCAGCCATGGTCCTTCCTCCTAAATTCTGCCCTCTCCCACAACCTCACCTGAAATCTGGAGATAGGAGGAGGCTGCAGAACCTTAATGAAGACCCTGTCTTCCTCCTAATTGGTATCTTATTTGTTTAGGTGGAGAAAGCAGATCTATTTGCCTAAACGTGTGCTAAGCACTGTAGGCAATGCCTGAAGCTGAAGCATATATCAGAGTATTGGAATCAGAGGAAATAGTCATTAAGGACCCTGAATCATGGATCTTTGGGTTACAAATAGGGGCACCCACGGGGAAGGGGGTCAATCTGCAAGATGGTGGGTGTGATGTGATACAGGGCTTCGATTGCAACACCAACCCACCATTTAAGATTTAACCCCCTCGGTGGGCACCCAGGATCTCAGAACTGTAGTTATTTCATGGTTTTGGTGGAGGGACAAAGCCTTATTCTCACATGGCATAACGAAATAGAACGAGTAGCTTTGTATTCGGCTAGCTGAGTTTATTCAATACCATCTAAAGCCAATTTTAGGACACATCAGGAATGGAAGTCTTCTGATATACAAGCCCAGGCTCCACTAATTATAGTTTGATTTCCAATCTTATTCATATTGTAGTTATTGCTATGTCAATGACCAGAAAGACTTAATTTGGTTTAATTCAATCACTAATGCTGTGGTTGCTAATGAAGCAAGTGGAAGTTTTACTGTGACTTTAAATAAACAACTTTGAATGCTTAGACCTAAGAAATGAGGATCTTTAAGGGACCCAGATAAATGGAAATTAAATCTAAGCAGTCTTGCCTATTTTCCAATCCTGTTCTTTAGGGCAGTGTTTCTCAACCTTGGCGGCTTGAAGACGTGTGGACTTCAACTCCCAGAATTCCCCAGCCAGCCATGCTGGCTGGGG